CAGTCCCAGTAATACTGTATTCCTTAATGAGGGCTGCTGAATATGAACAATTATACTAACAGGTGATGTCATCTTCACACACAAAACAATCTGCTATATTGAAGAGTCTACCAGATATCTGACTGAGACAAAGCTTTACCAAATTCTGAACTCTTAGGAATTGGAGTTTGGTAATAGCTGTCTGGCTCAAACTGGACCAGACAGTCCAAAGTGTGTGTGTGTGTGTGTGTGTGTGTGTGTGTGTGTGTGCGCGCTCATACAGGTCACTGCAAACCTTTCACTGCAGACAGAAAGATGTAAATGTACTAAACAAAGTCTTTATGTAATATTTACACTCAAATGAGGCGTTTCAAGCTGTAAAGTGTGAGGGGGTGTCCCTAGTGGTATATGACGGAACAAGATATATATTTCTACTAGATATGATCACAAGACCTTGACTTACTAAGCACTGAGAATACAGTTCAAAAAAAGACAGATGTGTCCCCTCCCTTCAAAAAGGCCCCCCAAAAAATGTTATGTATGTGTGTGTGTGTATTTCAATTGCAACATTTCATCTTACAGAAATACTTCTTGGTTCAGACTAGGGTTATGTTTCTATGACTGTGTTACCACATCACTGTAGTCATTGCAAAACCTCACAAGTGTTGTAATACAATACTATGTGTGTGGGAGTGTGTCACTATGGACTGGTATTGCGATACTAGCGAGGACCAAAATGTTAATTCACACTCCCCCAAGTCACATGATGTATAAGGTCGAATCAAAACTATATTTTCTTTTCTGTACATCCTTGAACACAGCTGTTTTTACATTAAATGAACATTTGAAAGATATAAATGAAAATGGTCCATAATTACTTGGAATAAAATCTTGAGTTTTACTGGGTTTTTTCTTGCTCTTACAAATCGACCATTTCTAGAGAAACACAGATTTGTCAAAGGATGCATCAATACCGATACTGGTATCAGCCTTATACGATGCTCATGTACTCACACTCGACCTCATAAAAAGGCACCAATACCAATATCCAATACCACCTGATACTATTTGACATAAGCCTAGCGTACGCTAATCAACAAACGACTCAAGTCGGCAATGAATCAGAGTATGCTATCACAGAGTTACTGGCTTCGTGGTCATCATGCACCAAGTTGCGGGTCACTTTAAACATTCTGCCTTGGTATATTCCTACCAGGTGCCATATTACAGAAACTTCCTAACTCTGAAATTTTATCTCAGCTGTTTAGTCACTATGACAACCTCAGCCAGGACTGAATTTAGGGCAGTATTATTACAGAATAACAGTTCTTAAGTTCATAATATTATCCTAACACCAGATACGAAAACACTATTACAGAAGCATCCAAACTAGATAAAATCTCCTAAATACTGTCATACCTTTGGGACAACCCCAGTGGTGTCTTAACCTCTGTTTTAACCATCTGTTCTGTTACTTTTAGGTAACTGTGACAGACAGCATGCTGCATAGTAGCATCATGATGTCACATGTATTTATATTGCAAAATGGTAATTCCACCCCCCCTCCCAACTCTTAATTTTAAAAATGCCAGATGGTGCAGACACTCTGTCTCCACTGTCTCCTCTTATCACCTTTATGTGTTAACGTTGAAGAAAACTCATCAGATTAAATATCACAGTGATAGCTGTGAATAATGAGACAGAGTTAAATGTGCAGCTGTTTATTAGGATGAATAACATTAGCGTTGCCAGTTGCTTTTAAACAAGCATGACTGTTGATTGTTGAGTTCGTACAAGTAGTTTTGGATTTCACTTGAGATAAGATGCTGTAAGATAAGATAAAATTCATAAACTCAGATGAGATTTTCTTCTGTAATTTGAATTAGTGAAAAACCTTACCTTGACCTATCGGATCTTAACTAAAGCTACAGCTAGAAGTTTCTGTAATACGGCCCAGGAATACACTGCAATTTTAGTCATTTTTAGTCCGGTTTTTTTCACACACAAATAAACACAATCACAACCACGTCCCCAGTATGGGTGGAAAACGTAGGCTAGCAAAAGGGAGGCGAAAAAGGTCACCATTTGCTACCAGTGTGCAAATATGCTGATTTCACTGTTTGACTGAACAGAATATAAATGTTAGTGAAGTATAAACGTTAATAATTGGGTTTTTTTAAACTGTCTTTGTAAAACAGGTTGCAGAGAGACCGTACTGTCCTACCATGAACATCGGCTGGTTTCAGTAGTTAGCAGCGCTATTGTTTCTCAGCGTGTCTGCTCAGCACTCCGCCGTGCAGTGTTATTTTGAATGAAACAGCTTTTTTAAAATAGTTCATAGAAAGAGTTGTCTGTGGAGGTTGAGTTTCACAAAGCATGGACAGTGTTTTCGTATAGTGTGAGTATATAAATTGTAAGGCTTCGTCCGTACATGACGGTCTGTTCAAACGTATAGTGTAAGTCACTAAAAAACAATATTTCTAAATTCGAACAGGCAGGTATGTCAGGCTTGAAGGACATTTAACTACTCAACTCGATCTGCCAAAAGACTTCAACAACGTGAAACGTGAGCTTCTCGGATTAGCCTTAGATGTGATTCTTGCTGTCAATGTATTACAGAGTCTGCTGTTGAAAGAGACAGATGAGAAGCAGGGATCAAAACTAAAAATGTACTTTACTAACCGCTCTACAGAAGTTCTTTCTGATGTGGAACAAAACCTGCTCCACTCCACTGCAACACTACTCGATCCAAGGTAGCATAGCTAGCTAATGCACGTCATTTAAATCAACTAGATTTTAATGATTTAGCTGTTAAGTAAAAAAAAAAAATGGTATTGAAGCATCCAAGTTTTGTCACAGCAGCAACAACGCGTGTCTGTGTGCTTGTGTGTTTGAAGCCATGGGAAAATGAAGGGCTACTGCATACAAAATTCTCCCGAAAGTAATGAGCATCAAAGAACACAGGTGTTCAAGGCCCACACACATAAATATCAGCTGAAGAGGCAAGAATGTGAAACATTCAGGGTGTGAGTGACAGGCCTGTTAGTCAACTCTTTCAACACACATCACCATGCAGGCTTTGTGTGTGCATTAGATGATGCATTCAGATACCTAACTGCCCATGCTCCACCTACAATCTACCCTCTACTACACATTCACACACAAACACAATTTTATAGGGTGTGAAGTGGGGTCACATGCATGTCCCAAGCAGTACCTTACAAAAGTCACAGAGCACCCTTGATTTATTTAATATCCAGTCAAAATGACGATTATGTTCAAGTTATCCTTTTTTCAACATCAGCGTAAAACACAGAAAACATGTATTTAATAGAAAATTACACAGATGACTCAGTATTTCATGTGTCCACCCTTTGCCTTTACTACAGCTTCCATTCTTTTCAGGAGGCTTGCTTTCGGTTTTTTAAAGAAATCTGCAGGGATCTTTTTCCACACCTCCAAAGTTCAGTCTCAGTAGTTGGTCTGCTTCTCACAATCCAAATAATCCTAATTACAATTTCGCCTCATCAGTCCATAAAGTTTTCAGTGCAAATTTTCTTTTCTTTTGTCTTTTTTTCTCTGTAATACGTAATAAGAACCTTCTTAGTTACACTTCTCATAACTCCTCAGTTTTCAACCAGAAATAGATTTGTTCTTCAATTTTTTGAAGATAAAAAATAAAAACACAATGTCTGGCATGTTTTGTAGCTCCTGTAAGTTAGTCTTGTTTTATTGTGGTTTTAATACAGTTTTTTTGTGTTGAAAATGTACAAAATCAAACACACACACACAGTTTCTTACAATGGCAGAATCTGGATCTAGGGCAACAGCCCTGCGGTATGAAACTAAAATACCTGAAACAAGGCCACTCTCTAGGAGAGCAGCACAGGTCCCACACACAGACACACACAGACACAGACACACACACACACACACACACACACACACACACACACACACACAGAGGGAGGAGCTAAAATAAGTCCTCCCAGCCCTATATTTTTCACCTGTTTCTCCACTGCAGTGTAAAAGAGGGCGTTGCACTGATAGTGCCGTGGCCTTGTCAGGCCAAACCAGCACACAAACACACACACATAGACCAAATGGAGGCGACAGGACAGAGGAAAGTGTGTGGAGGTCAAAGTCAGTCAGGACAGAGGGACACACTTTTTGGAGGTTAACAAGGGTCAGAATGATCAAAGATGTATCCACTGGAAAAGAACAGTTTGTAGTACTGCATTGCCCGTAGACACGAAATGCTTACAGCTGATTGCTGCACTGCTCAAGTAGAAAAACAAGCTTTTCTTTATACTGTATACTTCGATTGACATGAAATGAAGCTGAGTAGTAAAGCAGGTGTGACATGACTTGACAAAGCAAAAGTGGAGTGACTTCTTGGGGACTGAAGCAAAACATCTGAAGTGTCCACCTTTCAGTTCTTCACTCTTATATAACTGATAAACAACAATTTCATAGTAGTTACTCAATAATTTTCAGCCACAGGAGAACAGGTCTTAAGGTTTTAAGCCGATATAAAAAGTCCAGAGCTTAATGGGTGAAGAATGAGAAGTGCTTTGGAATGTCTGTGACATTTTGGGTTAGCTACAATATTCATGGGCAACTTTAAAAAAAAAAAAGTCGTAAAAGTGTTTGACCAGCCTAAGTGCCAACTACTGGGAGCTCCCTTTGAGCTTGTGCTCTGTGTTTGTGATGACAAAACGTGAAACAGTCTGAACTGACAGAGCGAGAAGTGTTTATGCACTGTGAGATTAATTACAGTATTCGTAGGCGAATGAAAAAGTCGTAAAACTGTATGACTAACTCCTTTTGGGTTTGACAGTGCTATAGAGGAAAGATCATTTGCATATGGAAGCCTATCAGTACTGCGAAGGCCATTGTAACAGTCCCAGTTAACAAATGATATCGTGCAGCTCTACCTCACTTGAACTGCTGTTCATAGTCAAATGTGAAAATCTGCTAGTTTGCGATGCTAAACTCTGGAAGATCCGAAATGGTCTTACCTTGCAGCTGTTTGAATCTGCCCTCCAGAATGTTGGAATATTGCACCTGGTTCACGAAGGCGGCAGGAGAGAGGCATGACTCGCTATTCCTCCGCTCTAACTCCATCTCTACCTCGTCTTTTTCTCCTTCACGCTCGCGCTCACACTAACTCGCTCCCAATAGGAATAAGCTGTATCCAGAAAGGAAAACGTTCACTCCAAACACAAGCAGCACTGTATGCTCTGAATTGGCCAACCAGTTGCTACAAAGAGTTTCAAAAGGAAGACAAGATAAAGAAGTGTGAAGGGAAAGCTAAGGCAGAATTAGCTTTCCGTCCAGGTGCAGAAGTACAGGTTTAGAAAAAGGTCCAAACTGGAGAGGACGCAAAACTTCCAGGTGTGTGTGTGTTTCATCTGTGTGCGCTCAGCCGCGCCATGCTGTTTCATCGCCTTCTGAGAGAGAGAAAAAAGAAACTCCCTCTTATTTCCCCTCGGTGTTGTTCCTTTCTGTGTGGTAAAACACCAGAAGAGATGGCAAGTGCAAGAAGAGGTAGGAGGGGGAAAAAGGGCAAAGAAAGAACAGAGTGTTCTCTCTTTTTCCTCTCCTTTCACCTCTCTTCTTCTATCCTGTGCAGTGTTTCACTCTGCAGCCCTCTCTCTCTCTCTCTCTCACACGTTCAGTCTTCTGTCTTCCCTCCAGAACGTGTGTGTACGCGCATGTGCGTGCGTTTGCGCGCGCACCTTGTTTGAGCAGCTAGCCACGGTAGGCTGCCTAAGTAAACAAAGCCTCCTGCTCTTTCTCTCTCCCTTTCTGAGCTGTGCATTTGCATAAGGTGTGCGTGGGGGGAAGGAGTTACAGAGAGCGAGAGAGAGAGCGAGAGAGAGAGAGAGAGAGCGCGCGCAAGAGAGAGACAGATAAAAGGAGGGGGAGGGTGTGGGCTAAACCATCTCCAAAGGTGTAGCAGGGGAGGAGCACAGAGAAAGAGACACAGCAACAGAGAAAAAGAGAAACAGACGAGAGTCGTTTAATTTACAGGTAAAAAGACTGAAGAGGCCAAGAGAACAAGAGAACACACGTGAGAGATATTGTTTCCATCTCTCTTTCTCTCTCTGCTCCGCTGCACGCAACAGAAATAAGTCGTTGAGGCAGGAAGGAAGTACTTGAGAAAGACTCATCAGCTAACCTCTCTTCCTGTGCGTGTGTGTATTTTTGAATGTCACTCTGCTCGCTGCCACCTTGGCCATCAAAATAGAACCAAAACCACTATTACGTTACAAATGACATCACAATCAATCTAAAAACATAAACTAAACATTTCATAATAGCTGGAAAAAAAACACTCAGCAACTACTAAGTTCTGATTGATCACAATCAATCTAACGAATAAACCGATACAGAACCAGAATAACATCAAAGAGGACCGTCGGTATTACGTTCCAAATAAAATCACAATCAAAGTAAATAACTAAACTAAATATTTACCAAAAAAGAATCAAAAAAGAGCAAATCTTTACAACGGATGAATGTTACGCGCCACAAGATTTCACAAGCAGCCAATCTAAACTAATAAATAAAACTAAATAAAAACCAAATAGTACTAAAAAGTGTCTTCACTCAACTATTATGTTCCATATGCTTAAATGGGCCGTTTCAGATCACATGACTGGGATATTCTAAAAATGATGCTACAAAATCAAAGTTTAAAAAAAAACACACCTCAAAAGGAGCAATCTGCAGATCATATGACTTATGTCACTATCGAGAGGTCATAGTCAAGCATTCTAAGTAAATACATTTCATTACTAGTCATGGTCTATACTGCTCTAAATAACATTATCAAGCAAGTACATAAATAAAGAAAAAGAAATGAGTGAATGAAGCTAACAGAGAGCGAAGTGCTGACAGCCTCAGATCTGAAGTCAAAAGACGCTGCTAATCAGGTATGATGGATTTATGGACACTCAAACGTAAGTAAAAGCACATCTCTTCGGCAAACAACGAAAGTGGCTCCGATAACATTTCTTCACTATCTACGATCAGTACAGCAGACTTGATCTGCCAGCCAAGCCCTGTTCTCACACACACACACACACACACACACACACACACACAAACACGCACCCTTTGTGTATGCATGATATGTTTGTGTTTTATTAGAGGAAGTTCCTTAATGAGGACCAGAGCAACCACAACACGTGCCACTGGTAGACCACAGTGACCAAACACACTAACACTGCTGAAAGACTCTGTGTGTGTGTGTGTGTGTGTGTGTGTGTGTGTGTGCGCGTGTGTGTGCGTGTGCGTGTGCGTGTGCGTGTGTGTGTGTGTGCGCGCATAGGGATTCTATCTGGACATAAACTCATGATAGTCATTTGTATGACAGAGTAAACATATGACTTTGTAACCTTCCAAAATTGTAGGACAAAAAAACAAAGGGAGAGAGACAGCAATATAGATGAGAGAGCAAAAGAGAGATAACGTTTTGTATGGGTGTGAGAGAGAGTACATCACACTGGACTCAGTATGCGTCCAAACACACACACACACACACACACACACACACACACACACACACACACAGGCACGCACACTTCCCAGGCTACACAGATTACACAGAGTGGGTGTGCAAGTCAGAAAAAGCCACAAATATTTCATGCGCTTTTCTCAGGGAAATACATTATTTCCGTCACCAAGAAACACACCAGATGCAGCTGGTGTGAGATTCAACTTTCTCCAACATACCTAAATTTCTCATTCTCTCTCTCTGCCTCTCACATACACATACAAGGAAATCGAAAAGAGATCATACGATGCGAGTGACAGCAATACAGAAAGAGAAAACACAGGGAGAGTGGGGGTGGCGGGGGGGTGTGGACTGACAAGAAAGGAGGAAAAAGGCAGTGTGAGAAATAGAAGCTCATGAAGAGCTGACAGAAGTATGGAAACTCATTCCTACCAGGTGAAAAAAAACGCATACTGAAATAATATGATCAAGTTATTATGTCACCTTATAATAATGACTCACTCTGCCGGAATGATGACGACTTCTGAAAACACCGACGCATGTTGAAATAACGACTTAGCATCTCATAATGACGTACTCTGAATGAACAATTAATTATTTTCTGAAAATATTAACCTTTGTGAAAATAGTGACTTATTTTTTCAAACTTACTATGGCAAAAAAAATGTAACCTGAAATAATTTCTTTCTTGAAATATAATGTCAATATTTCAACATTGAATCTCAAAATTGAGAAAACAAGGTATTATTTTGAAATGTCAAGCCAATTAAAAAATATATACGTCATTATTTCAAGATATTATGTCAATATTTTAAGAACACAAGACGCTGTTTTCATAATAAATCATTGTTAATAAATAATAAACAAAATAAATCATTACTTCAAGATAAGTTGATATATTTGACAGTATGCTGGCAGAAACAGAACAGAGAAGAAAGAAAAAACTATATGTACTTTCTTCTGTACCTGGGGGATAGAGCGAGAGAGAGAGAGAGGGAGAGAGGGAGAGGGAGAGGGAGAGAGAGAGAGAGAGAGAGAGAGAGAGAGAGAGAGAGAGAGAGAAAGAGAGAGGGAGAGAGAGAGAGAGAGAGAGAGAGAGAGAGACAGAGGAGAGAGAGAAAGCAAGGGGGGGGGGGTGCAGAAAAAGATAGATTGTGTGTGAAGCCTGAGGGGGATTACTTCAGCAGAAAAATGTGGATATCATGTCTCCACTTGTCAGTAAGAGATGCTATCTTTTTCACACACTTACTAACACAGGCAGTCAAACCCCTGTGTTACCCATCTGTGTGCACTGGACTCTCTGGTTTGGTCTGGTTGTTATGTACTGTGTGAACATCAGCACACAGACTTAAACTCATACAGGTCTGTTTACTCCAGTTTCGAGTTTAATTCAGAACACTTTTTAACTGTTACAGTCAGTAAGTGTGTGCTCGTTCTGTAAGGACAGGAATTTTGCTCAACTGCTTTGCTGCCTGTTGCTTCCCCCTGCTGGAGGCAAATACACATTGCAGCATTTTAGACACAGACCACACACACGCACACACACACACACACACACACACACACACACACACACACACACTTGACTAATTAGCCCATTATGCCTTCTGCTGTTTCTGCATACTGTATACCATCACAGCGCTGCCTGTTTCTACCCAGACTGAGTCCCTCTCTTAACTCTTAACAGAACTGTAAAACATGAAATTTTTGCTTGCATTTGCGAGTGAGTAAGTTATACTATACTATTTCGAAACAGAAGAGCCTGAACGTGAGCAAACTGCCAAGGGCGTGCTGTTAAGAACATGACTAAGAAGGCAAAGAGCGTGTGGCTTTTATCACTAAATAAGTTTGACTTGATGTTAGCTAAATCCAGAAAGAGTTAAATTATATATATAAAAAACCCTAACATTAGGACACTGTCCACTAAAGAGGAAAATCACCTGTAGAAGACAATCAGTCTCCATCAGCATCTATGGTTTTTCCCGTTGCCCTTGTTTTTTCCCTCTCTGCAGTTGACCAGATATCCCTTCATAAACTCTTGCAGATACTCCAATAACAACTTTTTCCGTAATCAACATTGTTGTAGTCTAATCGTTGCAGTGATAATGTACTCTCACACTCGCGTTCACTCAGTACCTGCGAGGGCTTTGATGCGCGAACGCTCGAAGAGTCTTGCTGAACTGTTCTCGTTGTCCCACTCGGCCTCGGCCGCCAGGTCCCAGCGGTTGTTGATGTCATTGTACTGCTGCTGGATCTCCACGTTGTCGAAGTCCGTTGGAGAGATGGTGCTCATGGTTGCCACCGGAAACACAACAGCCTCCCTGATAAAAGAAAGAAACAAAAAAAAAGTTAATAAGATTGTATTCACAGTGGGGACCCATCAACATAACACAAGGCAGATATAAATCAATCCTGAGGACCCTGAGATTTAACAGTATCACCAAAGGTATTAATAAAAAAAAACAAGAAACCAGAAAAACCAACAAAACTAGAAAAAATTCTGGGAAGAACCCTCCCGCATGACGACATTTAATAAGTTTTGTTCTAAAATGCTTTATAGTTTCACACATAAATTACCATAAAAAACAATTTATCACAACAAATAACACAACAGAAATTCTCCAATAATGACAAATTAACCATACAGCTCTGATCCTTCTTGTGTAGGTAAAGCTCATTTCCAAAAACTTATCTGACTGGAAAACAAAAACCCAATTAAAATGACTTTTAGTGCATTTTGGATCCAGTTTCTGCTGTTTGTGTTTAAGAGATCTGACGACTGAGAACAGACTAATCGGCCAGTAAAAAAACTATAATGTCACGTCAAATTATACTGGCTGATATTTTGGTTATCTGAACTTTTAGCTCCTCAATATCAGTATCAGCCAAAGTATTTATAAGGGTCAGGCTCAAACTCACAGCTTCTGAAGTCATGCTTGGG